TCACCTTCACTTTGAGGATCAAGAAGTCTAACAATATCACATATTCATTTAAGAAACAACTAACAAATTTACTATATGAATCAAATATATAAAATTTTTATTAATTCATCGAACAAAAAAAAAGAAAATTTAAGATATAGTTCAATACTAATTGAACATTTTTCAGATAATTTCTTCAGCATAGAACTCAAAGAGATTTATTCTGACGTATCTTTACCATAAAATAACCCATTTTATTTTATGTTTTCGAATGATGATGTCTCATATACCTTCAAATTATAGAAAAATACTAAATACATCCAGTGTCCTGTCAAGGGTACAATTTTTTGCATTCGAATCCGAATTGGTACTTTTTTTTTTCTTATTATCCTCGATATTCGATCGAATCTAATCGACATCCTGCAGATACTTTCACATTAATTGTGCAATTTTTGAACTTTTACTTTATATGAAAACGTATCCTATCTAGTTTCTTTTATGATTAGCAACAAAAAAAAAAGAGATCGTCAGAAGTCCTTAAAAAAAAAGTAAATGATTGAAGATTCACTTGGGGTCTTTCTGGTTTTAAAACCAGATAAATTTCAGTAAGTATATGTTTGCTTGTTGCTGCAATAGAACGCCGTATTTATGTTAAACGTCATAAATGTGTATACATGCATGAATACTTTTTTCCATCATGATAATACTTGTTCACAGTTTTGATAGCTCATTTTTCTCTTCATGTATTCAATTACTTCGTCATATTATTCCTCATCATCTATAGATCAGTTTTCATTAAAAAATTCTCTTAATAAAACAATATAGCTTTCCGCTTTTGTGATCTGTTCTCAAGTATAATGAATTGTTCGACCATGATCGAATCAGTTTTCATTCCTATACTTGAAAAAAAGTAAAACTATTTTGAAACGTCGACATTTCATAAATTGTCGGATTAGGTATTAAATTTACTGATCCGATTGCAAGATACTACATATATTAAGCTTGTTCCATTCGTAGTAAAATTTATAATCTCATTTAAACAGACATATGTGTTATTTATACATTGGATAAAATAACTGCTTTATGGAAAAACGCACAGATATAATTAACGGCAAATTAGGAATGTTTCATAGGAAAGATAGTTCTCCGAAGGAAAGTCAATCATAAGTATAGATATAATAGATGCATATCGACTAATTGAAGTATTTTTAGTTGTTCAGTTCTTTTCGTATAAGTTAAAGTTACTAGAAATCTTATTTTATGCTTCGATTGAGATCGATTCATAACATAAATGACGCTTTTTTCTCAAAAAAAAGAGAATGTTTCTAGACTGGTTTAGGTCGAAATAGCTTCTTACTGAGTTTTGCTTATTTAACAAAAGCACCAATCATCGAACTTGAGAACTGTCACATATCTAATCATTTCCATAAACAACACTCGTGATGCAAATGCTAAGTTAGAATATATTCAAATTGACTGTCTCTTTCTACAGCTTGTTTATTATTTTTGCACTTCTTTTTTTTTTTTCGGTTTCTAATTCAAAGCAATAATGAAAATAACGTATTGAACTTTCTTTCCTATTGTCTAGACAGTTAACTCACCGAACTACACCATTGGCATTGTCTGGAACACATAGAGTAACTTCAAGAGCAACTTTACTTTGTTCATTTAAAATAGCCATATTTCTTAAAATAAAACAATAATATAGAGTTATTAATAAATAGTTTTTACCTATGAAGTTCGTCTTCAGATCGAGGCGCATTTACACTGGCAGATCCTAAATATGTTACACCATGAAAAAGTACACTACTGGTCAGATCAGGTCGAGATTCTTCTATTATAAAATATATTAATATAAAAATTAAAGAACAAATAAAATCGAAGTTTTTACTTTGTTCAGTTGATGTTTGAGAAAAATTCTCATCGGGATTTGATTCAGCTATAGGAACATTGTTATCAGAACTCTAAAAATAAATGAATATTCATAAGATATAATTTAACATAATGATAAACAATTCTACTTCATTTAATATTTCTGCCATATTCTTTTCTAAATCGACAATTTCACCACCTAAATTCAGAAGAGAAACAATTTTAGTGTATAAACTGAAATCAATATATATATAAAGCAAAAATCGACGAAAAAAAAAAAAGGATTCTTACACATGTTAGAATCATGTTAAATAAAACAAGGGGAAGAAAGAGCATATTTACTTGCTAGAAGAAAAAAAAAAGAATTTTTCTATATTTAAGCTGGAATAAAAGTTAGAAGGAAAAGAAAAGAAAAAAAAAAGAAAAAAAAATGCACATACCAGCAGCCACTTTCAGTTGAGGTTGTTCTTTATTAATAAGAATAAAATCAGCTGAATTTAAACTACTTAAACTAGTTGAATCATCCATTCGTGTTCATATTTGCAAATTTCTATCTATAAAATATCAAACAAAAACGAAGAGGATGATTGATAAAAATCAAATTGATTCAGTTCATCAGTGTTATTTCCGTTTTAGTATTCTCATGTGTCTTAGTTGCTTTGACAATAACAGGCAATTTAATAGTAACACGCAAAAGAAATATATCTATTGGACTGGATAATTATTCTACAATTTTTTTTTAATCGTGAATTTAGGAGGTTATTCAATCATAACATATACATACACATATCTGATTCATTTTACTATAATTATCATATCTTTTATTTGCTGTTATATATTTACTTGGAACACAAAGAAATTAGATCATTATAATAAATATTATGACTAATTTTAACAACATAAACAATAATTATCAATAAATCAGTGATTAAAGAGACGAAGTTTTAAAGAAAGATAGTTTTTCTTTAAAGATTAAAATGTCTCCCGAGATGGAATTTGTGAATCTCGGTATCTCTCGTCTAGATTGAAAAAAAAGAAGAACAGAACAAGAGCAATACTGTGGCAGACTGCGATGATTGAGTACATCTGAAGTTAGCTATATCGATCGTTCATCTGCATTTTTATTTTTAGCAGTTCGCTCATTCGTTCATTTCTTTGACTAACTAAACAACATATTAATGATATCTTTATTTAAATTTTTTAATGTTCAAATTAAAAAATGATTACATTGTAAAAAAGATTCAATGAAGATTTTTGCATATAGATGTCACTGTTTTACAATTATTCTAATAAAGGAAATATATTCCGCGAGCAGTATTTCTAATAGCAAGTGTAGCTACACTGTATATACACATTTTGAAGGAAAGATTTTAAAAGTATTCTTAGTCAAAAAATTGTGCTTGAACCATAAATAGATAGTGATCTATTTTTATTTGTTGTATCATTCGTTGAGTGCCATCATTTTCTGATTTTGTTATCAATACTTCTTTTCAGATTTATGCCAGATATGCTCCTAGTACGTATATTATGGCTATAGAATAAAAATGAAAATTCTAGCAGATTCAAGTTAACGGATAGTGCACAAAGAACTGGCCTCTTAGTATTTTCATTTTTTCTCCACTTTGCATGAAATTGAGTTCATTTTTTTTTGTGATATTCTAAAAGTTCTATAAAGCCCGAAAAATCTAAAGTTTTTCTTCATAGTTATTACTTTCGTTTCATGCGAATTTATGAAATAGGAAAATTTAATGAGCCATCAGGTGACCCATGAACAAAAAAAACTTTTTTGTTCTATCCAGTGACAGTTTCCAAGAAATTTTGTTACATAAGAAACCTCTGGTATTTTTCTGATTATAGAGAAATCTGTTCTTCCGTTCGAATTTTTCACGAATGTTAGCAGAAACCACGAAAGCCAACTAAAAATTAAACTATAGAGTTTTCTTTTGACTTAATTTGAAGACAAATGCATGGTTCTTTAAACTTAAATCTAAAATTTTCATTATATATTCGTTTATTCATATGATAACAAGCAAACTAAATTAAGTGTTAGATTTTTTCGACTGAATTTTAAGACGAAAACCTTTACATTGGAATATGTAATTGAAAAGAGTTGTAATATGCATAACGAGAGAGTACACTCAATTCTACTAAAAAACTCGCCAATACACATGTTCATATTACTTTAGTTGTTCCAGAAAAGTGAAAGTTTTGTGAAAAAACCATTATATTTTTTAGATTTTATAGGACTTTTCAGGACATCTCATGCAATTTTCTATGCCTAGAATGTGAAAAAGATATGATTAGTGCGGTCTTGTGCATAATTCAATGGTGAATCTTTTCGTAAAAAAATAAGTCCGATTATACGTCAAGAAGTGAAGAAACATTGAAAATACTACAAGATCAATTCTTTATAAGCCACTTGTTAGTTGTGTTCAAATTGTGCTGATATGCATGAGGATCAAGATGAAAATAATAGTTTTGATTGATTTATGATTATGATAGATTTTGAATAATAGTAAATTATAGCTTCTCAAATTTATGTGATATTGTAATGTTGTACTTCTGGGTGACCAATCCTCCTTAATAAATCGGATACGAATCGCTGTTTTTTTTACTCTCTATTTGTTTATTTCATATTAGTTTATCTTTTTACGCAGGAATAAGATATGAATATTTTTTAATTTTTTAAAATTATGAGATGGAAACATGACTTTTTACATTATGATACATTTTGCTTATGAAAAGCAAGTGTTCATATAGATTATACTCATATAAAAGAGAGTGTATTGTACATTTTATTTTAGATTTCCATTAGAAACACTGCCTACAACTACTACGGCTGCATGTGGTGTATGGCATTGTATATTGAGATTGAAAATGGATCGAAAGATATATTGATATTTTCTTTATTTATAGATCGATGATAAATTAAATATTAGTAAATTTTTCAATGCAATCAATAACTCGTTTAAGATCATCGATTCTTGATCGATCTTTGCAGAAAACAAAACGAGATGTAATTAATACAAAAAAAAAAAATCAAGAAGAATAATTTATTTTATTTTTCTTTAGGCTAATTGAAGTACATTTGCTTTATTAATTTTTTGAAATGGTGCAATATTCATAAAATCATTTTAATACTATACGTGATGTTCAAAATAAGTAAAGTATTTTTTGAATTAAAATTTGTTTTTGATCTTTAAATAAAAAATTCATTAAACAGACTAGCTGATTTTGGCAAACATATAAGTATTCGTGTTCTGGATTTACTTTTTTTACGTGTTGGTAAAGATAAACGTGAAGTACGTCTAACACTAATGCTTGTATTTATTTAAAAAGTTTTTTGGATAGAAAGTTAAATTAAAAACAAAAAGAAAACAGCAATATTTATTAATTATAAATTTTAAAATACTTATTTCATCGTGAAGCTGATATTCTTAAATAACATGCACAAGAACCAAATGTTTATATATATAAAAAACCTCTCTATCCTCTTATAATAATTTTTAATTAGATTATCTTATTAAACGTGAATGCCTTGTTAATAAATTTATTTCTGTTCCTAAAGATAAAAATATAGACATAATTGTAAAAGCAAAAAGAAACATGATAAAAATTTTCTTGGTTTTTTTTTTAAGGAAATTTAAATTGTGCTTCATTTGCAGCAGGTATTATTGAAGGTGTTTCATGTTCGAGTAGTTTTACATGTAAAGTTCTCGCTCATCAAGAACCACGTGATACAACTTATCTAGTTAATTTTTCGGAATCAGTAATGGAACGTGAAAGTCTATTTCATAGTAAATGAATACAAAATTAATTAAATTAAATTAATTTTTTTTTAAAGATAAAATTTGAAATTTTTTTTTTTGATTTCTTCTAGATGTATAATAAAAGGTAGATAAAATTAAATAAATAATGACAACAACAATGATACCTTCAACTTCTACGAAAGATAAAAAAAAAATTCATCATCACAGAAACACAATCGATCGACTTTTGCTGATACACTTTAAAGTACTTAATTAATTATTGAAAATTAGTTTATTCATATTCTATTTTTAGCCTGATCCAAAATATGAATTGAATAAAGATGAACCTATACAATTAGTAGGACATTTTGAAGCTGAACTTCAAGCTAAAGAAATTGCATTAGCGCTACATTGAAGGTAAAATATATTCAATTAGAAGAATTCTTTCTTCTTCCAAATAAAATTAAAAGTTCGTCTATAATATATAGTTTAGTCCGAAAAAGTACAAACACTTTTATCAAATACTCGATTTAGTCGTCTTTGTTGCCAGACTAATCCATATGCAACATTACTTTATGATAGTGAACATGTTAAAGAAGATATACTGAATGAACAAGTACCAACGAAAAATGTATATGAAACACAACTTGTAAAACTTGAAGAACTTCTTATTAAACAAAGAAAAATAAATACACACATTAAAAATTGCACTTGACAATACTGAACAAAGATTTACATTAGCAAAAATAAAAACAAATAAATTTATATCTATAAATATATAAACTTTATTTTAGTTGACTAAAGAACTTGAAAATGAAAAAACATTTCAAAATCAATTATTAATCGTTCTACAAGAAAAATTTCAATTACAAAATGAAGCAATTATCTCAAAGCAAAAAAGAATTTATTTATTTAAAATAAAATTTTTAGTTGTCTATCGTGATAATATTAAATTCAATAATCAAGAATTAGAACAACAATTAAATCAAGTAATTTCATTACTGGATTATGAACATGACCGACATAAAAAATTTGTTATTCTTCTTTTCAATGAACGTGAACTTCAAAATGAATAGGAAGAAGAACAATTAAAACAATTATCAAATCATCATAGCAAGTCAAAAAAAAAGAATTTCTTTAAATTAATAATAAAAGTTAGAATAAGAAAATAATCGTAATAAACAAGTTTTAACAAAAGGTATTAAACACGTATAAAATGAAATTGATTTATTAGTTAATGAAAAAATATCACAACAATCCGCAACCAATAATAATAATTATTTGTATTTTTTCCTTTTGACATATATTATAAATATATTAACATTTAGATGTTTCATCACTAGATGAAAAAGTGATTGGAACAGTTTCTAAACCTCAATCTAAATCACGTCACTTACAATTAATAGGGTCTCAAGCATCACTTCCAACAAATAATTCATCACCATCATCATCTAATTTTGATAAATCATCTATGCCAACAACAGATACTATTAGCCGTATAACTATTATTCCTATATTGTCATCATCAAAAAATGACAATAATTCAATAACAAAAACAGCGGTTGTTTCTCCACCAATTCCAACACGTACACAACAAACATTATCTTTTCCTGTATTACTTTCATTGCTAATACCTACTGTTGCTAAAAGTAATGTGAGACCTATTCGATCAATATTAAATCTTCATTCATCACCAAGTAATAGTCAAACATCAATATTATGCTTTATCAACAACAGGAAATAATATTACACGTGGTGTTGATAGTATCTCATGTTTAAGAAAAACTTCACATTGAACTGTTAAACCGACAACAACAACAACAACAACAACAATTTGCCCAACAAAATGATCTGATCAGGTAAATCAATGGTGTTCTTTTACTTATCTAATAAAGAAAAGAAACGATTATCCAATAATTCAATGCATAGCTTCGTATTTTTTTCTTTTTATTATTTGTTTTGGAGACAAACATAGGATTAGAAGGTAGTTTCTATGAAAAAAACAACATAGTCTTATGATTTTGTATTCTATTCTCTCGTTCTTGTCGACTAGCTAGTCATCAGAACACAACATTGATGATCTACGAACTCTTTCATCTATCTATGTTTTTTGTATTTGTATGAATATTTATCACTGAGATTCTTCTTGTGCTTCTTATAAACATAGATTAGTAATGTTAATCATATCTTCTTTATGACATTTTTCTTTGTTTTAGTTCTGTTATTCATATTTTATTTGCTGAAAATGGTATTATATAATCCAACAGACGCTAGTCCTTTGTTATTCTACCAAGATGAAAATCGATTTATATTCCATGTCATCATCATTATCAACTTCACATTCTGATTTAATCCTTTTTCGAGCTACTAAAAGTGGAGACAGACATCAAATCAATTATTTTTTAAAATTTTATAGATAAATTAGAAAACGACTTTCTGCAGAACAATTGTTGAATTTCATTGAACTTGAATCTAATCCAAATAGGGTGTGAGTGTGTGTATGGATGAATAGAGAATGCACACATACACCAATACCCACAGCCATACCTACATCATTTTTATTAACCGTTGAAGTAAATAGCAAGGCGACAGAATCCTTGTCGAGTTCTACCCTTCGGACTATAATCGATATGTTGGAGCCTTCTCCACTTATGTGCATTTCAAACTATAATAAATATTTCACGAATTCTATGCTATGACTATAGTGGCTCTATCTTGTTTCAAATTCTCAGCTTGCTAAAAGCTTCTCGGCATTCAATACAAAGATCTTTGAGGTGTACTCCGCTACCAATAATGTAAGAGCTAGTTTTATTTTAATAGCAGCAATAAAAATTGGTTTATCTGAGTATGTAGACTTGTCATTAGCTTACAGTTCTTTTCGTAGCAATATAACAATTGTCACTCTATTCGTCGTCTTTATGTTTTATGACTATTTGCAAAGTATTTGCCGTCTAGAGGCAAATATTTGTAGTTTGGATTTATTATACATGATAAAACATAAAGTAGGCCATATCAAGCCGCTCGAATAATTGTTATCGATAAGACAAAAAGAGAAAGACTTACAATAATTTATTATACTTGCTCTCTCACAGCATTTTTCAATCAACCATCACAAGAATATATCAAAATTTCATAGTACACCAAAAGGTATGCGTGAGTTGCCAGAAATTAGGTTTCTTCCTTAGTATCGTGTAGAGAAGAAGAATATTTTCAAGGTTTTGAACAGCGTTCTTCAGCTTCTCGTTGAATTTGATATTTTACTGAGGATATTTAATCCAATGGAAGAGCTCCATATTGATTATTTCACCTAAGCAGACAAGATATCATTGGAAATACGTTTTTAAGTTTGTTAGGTCTTCATTATAATATCATTTTAAGAATTTTTTATGGTGTTTCACCGTCTTAGAGTCATAAGAACTCGTGAAAACAAGCAGTTTCTTTTTGAAACCTACTTATTTTTATCACTTGTTACCATAATATTCACAAGTTTTGACGCGTCGAAAAATTCTGAGTAAGTCGAGATGCGAAGATTCAAGACGAGAAAAAACATTTTTTGGTTTTTCGTGAGCTGGTTTTACATCGCTAAACATCAACTTGTTGATTTATGTTTTACTAAGAAGATTTCACGTATTTCAACTGATTCGCTTATTTAATCAAAATTAAAAGCTCAACTTTTTGTAATGGAAAATTATATTTTTCATGTTAACTATTGTGAATAACTATTTAATTATACCCTGACATAAGTCTTAGTAACGATAAAAATTATCTTAGAAACATAATAATACTGTCACCAAGTGAGTTAAATTTTAAAACACGAACGCTGACTTATTTTCTTTGAATAGATTCAAATGTTTTACATTTTGGAGCGCGATTGATTTTATATGCATTTTAATACCTTTGGTTTATTGATTTCGTCTCCTTGAATAGTTGGAACTATTTCGCAACAGAACACATTGCATAAGATCGTGAATGATACAGAAAACAAAGACTTCTAACTAAACTAAATCATCGATAGGAAATCAGAGACTAACAGAGCATGAACTTGTCCTCTCAGATACTGTGGCGAGACAGTGTAAAAAAAATTCACTGTTCGTTACAGAGTCTACGGCTTTGGTTTTATATAACCCTAAGTTTTAGAAAAAAGACATCTTCTTTTCAGAAGCGGTAACCATCTAAGAGATCTAATATCTAACAAAGACTCTCAATCTCTTCATGATGATGGAGAGCCGACGTTCGGACTTATACGACCACTAAAATTCACACAACGGTCACTCATTCTTATTCGACGCTTGTCACCCGTCTTAAATATTATGGCAAACTATTAGGTACTCTTCGAGACACGTACATTCAGCGGTGTACGATACTCAAGTATGTCTCAGAGTACATATATACATACCTTCTTTTTTTTTTAGCAATGCAGTCTTTAAGGTCCATGCAGGCTATTACACGTACTTCATAGTGATTTCGTGTTAACATCGGTATATATCTGTGCACTATGAGGCGCAGGCAGTAACTACTAGAGGCCACCACTTCAGTTTGAAATCGGAAGCAATTTTGTTGAAATCCAAATTGAAAAAAAACACCATTGTATATGTTTAGAGAAGTCGTATACATATACTTTGAGCTCTGCTTGTAATAAGTTTACAATATTTTCTTTTCTTGATAAAAGCGTGAGAATGATCTCTGTTCCTCTAATCTTCAAATTTATCACAAATGCTTTGTATACGGGTTTCTTCTGTTCTGTTTGCAAGCACTGGTTATCATTTATCTCCTTGTGTAGTACTTAGCTAGACAAGACTCCTAAAAAAGCGTTAAAATTTCGCTACAGTGGTATTGTTAAGAATTGAACACGTTTAACCGTGCAGATTGTGCCCGAACATCTTTAAAACGCGTAAAATTTTTTCTAGACTTATACGTTTTCCCAAACTGCACAGTGAATTTATTGAGTTTTAGCGTGTTCAAAGGCAGTAGCCTTTATCAATATTGAAAGATTGATTAAGAAAGCATATTTCCACGCACACTTTCTTGACTATGTGTCACAATTTTCAACAATAGCTTATTATTTTTTTGTGGGTTTATAGTAATATAACGTGTTTAATAGTTTTTCCTGTCATGTTTCTAATATTTTTGTGATCAGAGAAATTTTCAAGAACTTTTCTCTTTTGTTTTTGATTGCTTCTTTATTATCAAGACACTCGTCATCAGTTGAGTTTGAAGAGATGCTTGTTACATAATTGGTACTTTTATCACATTCCTGATCTGTGGCCGGTATATTTGAGGATCGATTTTTCATAGAACTATTGAAATTATTTTATTTTCGTTTTGATCTGATAAAATATTGGAAGTCATAAAGGTTCTTTAATCAAAAAACACCTAATATATACAATGTAGGATTAGATATGTTAAAGTTTAACATTGTTAGAAGAAGAGCAAGTCTAAAGTGATAACATGTAAAATTAATTGAGTTTTCTAATGCCACACGAATGAATAAACCATACTGGATAAATAGAATTAATTATAATCTAACGGGCTCTATGCTTTCTCTGTTAGCGTTAAGACATCTTTAAGTTCATCGTGACGGTGGAGAAATCTTTCTGTTTCTCTCTGCATTCGCGGATTTTGCCCACACCAGATAAAAAAAGATTTTGCATTAAGATTGAGAATATTTCATTTTATTGTTTCTGCTTTTTGATAGTGTTGTTAATTTTGCATATCTCTCTAGAGACAAGATTTAAAGGCAATTTTTACTAGTGTGCAGTAGATTTCAAAAACGGATTCACGATTTCGGTGAAAAAGTAACCTGATATCTTGAATCAGTATCGCAACCTGAGGGCACTTACATGTGTTTCAAATATTTTCACAAGACTTTTTTTGAAAACAAAATTATCTCTTGTCCTAGTCATGGTTGAGACAAAATGAATTTCATCAAAAAGTTGCTTTCATGATGGCAACCACACTTTAGGGTTCTAAAACGATAGTAGAAACCTCGATGACAACGAGAAATAAAAGTTATGATAGGTCAACATACGATCAGTGGCAAAGTAGAGATAGACATTCCAATGATCTTCCTAATCTACTTCAAAAAGTATAGTAGAAACGACACATAGGCTGACTCAACGGGTATTAATCGTTCGAGCGCTACTTGAACATTCATTTCTAATTGTTCCATACATTGCATACTTTTGACAATTAAGAAAATGGCAGATGCTTTAAATGATGATTTCTTGTCTGTTGTAGTTATTGTTGTACCTTTCAATGCGTCACGTACGTCATTTTGTTGAATTCATTCTTTTGTTTGGACTTGTAGTCAATACCTCTGCTGATGAATCATCGGAACGAATCGAGTGTTTTCCGGAACGCGAATCTAAATATTCTCTTTATTCCAAGGAAGCATGTTTGAATCGTGGTTGTGAATTTGATGACGCGGCACAACCAGACATGGTTCAATGTTATTTAAAACCCAACTATGGATACATCTTGCAAGGAACTCCACAACAAACAAGCAGCGGTTTTCAGCTGAGATTGAAGCGAAATGAGGCTGTCGTCAGCATGTTTCCAAATCCCATCAATAATGTAGTACTTGATGTTCAATACTATACCAATGATATACTCAGATTCAAACTGTACGATGAAGAAAAACAACGTTATCAAGTATGACCAAGAAAGATGACTGAAGAATAATTTGTAATCTGCTTTTTTTTAATCTCCTAGGTACCAATTCCATTAACTCCTTCTCCCGATCGAGCTTTAAACCCTCAATATAACTTTACTTATTACTCGAATTCTTCGCGTGACAACATTTTTTCCTTTGCAATAAAGCGTCTAGTGAATCAAGCGACATTATTCGATACATCTCTTGGAGGTCTGGTACTCAATAATCAATTCCTTCAGATAGTTACACGACTTCAATCACGACATGTCTATGGATTTGGTGAAAATAATCATGACACATTGAAGCATGATGTCAATGATCGAAAAGCGTGGGGCATCTTTGCCCGTGATCAAGGTTAGTTTGTGATAAAGCAAAACAAGAATTTTATATTGGAAGTATTCATATTTCAGGTACGGATGAAGCTCTTCGATTAAATCACTATGGCACACATCCATTCTATCTCGTCATGGAACAATTACCGAATACAGATCAAACTCCATCAGGTAATATGCATGGTGTTCTTTTACTGAATTCAAATGCAATGGATTATTCGTTCACACCGATACCGTCATTAACTATACGTACAATTGGTGGCATTCTTGATTTTTTCGTATTTTTCGGTCCGAAACCAGAACAAGTAATTCAACAGTACACTTGGCTGGTTGGTCACTCAATGCTACCGCCCTATTGGTCACTAGGATTTCATCTTTCTCGTTGGGAATACGGAAGCTTGACAAGAATGAAAGAAATCGTCAAACGAAATCGTGATGCCGGAGTTCCACTTGATGTTCAGCATGCTGATATTGATTATATGAATGCTAGAAAAACTTTTACAATTGATCCGGTTAATTTTGCAGGGATGAAAGAGTATTTTTCTGAACTAAACGCCGATGGTGTGAGAACAGTTATCATTCTTGATCCGGCTCTTTTCGACGATCAAGTCAATTATCCAGCTACAATAGAGGGTATTCGAGAAGACGTTTTCATCAAATGGAGCAACGGAACGGAACTAATGAAAGGAGCTTGTTGGCCAGGCGAGGTCTTTTTTCCAGGTAAGTCTTCTTGATTCACTTTTATATGATAGATAGTATGGCAATATGTCTGTAAATTCATATTTAAGATTTGCTCATATGTCGCTCGGCTACATTTGCAAATAACTATTGCTGACATCATGTTTTGGTATTTGACTGTTCATTATTTTGATGTTTCTTTTATTGAGTCATTATCGAATAATTTATTTTCGAAGATTGTTATCGACATTTTTTTTTCTTTTTTCTACAGTATTATTAGGGAATAGGGCATCAAAATGTTGTGACATTGACCAGTACCGATTAATATAAACTATATTAGTGATGCATGTTATTTCCAAACAATAAACCATAACTAGTTTTTTCTTTCTTCGATGAATATTGTCTAACGACTGTTCCCTAATTTATATTGCTTAACCAACAGAGTGAAGTTATTCTAAATATTAAAAAAATTCTGTTACTCTGTTAAGTGAAATTTGTTCATCTTTATTGTGTTATTATTCATAGGCACATATTGAAGACAAGTATTGATTTCAACATATAATATATTCTATAGTTATTGAGTGAATTCTGGATACAGTCAACAAATGAGGTCTTCGCTTCTCACAATTTGATATAACATTTAAAAAATAGCTTCGAATTCAGTATTTTAAACAATTATGAACACATCTGTCAGAGGATCAAATTTAACCCTCTATGCCAAGTCTATATAAGGATAATAGTATTAGTTTTGAAGTAATTACACATTTAAACGATTTCCTCAATACGAGTTGAAATTCAACTGACTTGCACTTTTCGGCTTTTCCTTGAGATTAACGCCAATTCTGTAGTCTCCATAGTTCTCTTAAGTAGATTTAAAAGAAGCAAAGAATATCTGCGGCTCTGTTTGTATATAGATTTTTTCACGAATCGAACACAGCAGTGGTGGTCTCGATTGATCAATAATTTCCGGCGTGATATGGTTTCCTTTGATGGACTTTGGATCGATATGAACGAACCAGGTATGTAGTTTTTCTTGTATTCTTTGATGAAACGATAGAACAATTATCAATGCTTATTCGAACAGGCAAAAAAGTTTAGCACACTTTTGATCATTTTGGTTTTCTATTAAAGACATTGCACTGAAGATATCCCAATAATGATTCCAATAGCTCTCAGAACAGTCTAGAAAGGTACAGTGGAAACAATTTTTTACGATTGTTAGTATAGTTTTTCCTCAAGTAATATTTTTTGTTGAGCAAAAAAAGCTCTAACACACTTCAAGTAGTTCGGAACTGTTGTTATTATTAAATAAAATTGGTAGTTCTTTCATGTATTATTGAATGTAGAATTCAACGAACTGTATTTTAACTCTTTCGAGTCGATTGAATTTTTTCACAAAATAGCTTTAATAGATTCATTTTTATGTACATTGATCTTTCAATAAATGCATTCGTTGACCGTTCCAGTGCGGGTGTGGGTGTGGATCTTTCGTTTAAGTGTACCCACAGCCACACCCCACACCCACACCGACACCCACCCCCATCCCCACACTCACACCGACACCCACACTTACAACCACCCTTTACTGCTTGGTACAACATTCGAGAAACTGAAGCCTGGTCCGAAACAACAATTAACAAGTAGTTTGAAGCGTAAACTCGGTGATCACAAGCTAGAAGAAATGGAAGGACCTGCACGCCATGTCCGAAGACGCTGTATTGGGTGCTATGTGAAAAGCAGGAAACAACAATCAAGAGAAGCGAGCGCAGTGGCAGCAAAGAAAGTAAAAACCTTCTGCCCTGATTGTGACAAATTTTTTTGTCTTAATTGTTTTAATGAGAAGCATCATGGTATGAAATAAAAGACTCAAAAATTACAAAAGGCAGAGAAGATGACACATTATATGTAATCTACTGCCTAAAAAAGGCAAAAGAAAGTGTTTTTCTGCACAGTTTCTTCTAAAAAGATAGTGTGACTCACCGGTGAGTCACATCGACTCGAAAGGGTTAATAAGAAATTGTTTTCAATAGCAGTTAGTTCTCATGTCCATAGTTTAATAACATTTTGATACAGTTGAAAATTATTTTACAATGCTAATTGAAAAATTCGTAATTCTATCAAAGCTCTATGACATATGGAAAAAAATGAGAACTAATGAGTTTTCAAAAATTTTTATCATTACAACGTAGTGCGCGTTAAGTTCTACACTGAATGATCTGTAAACGAGCTGCCACTTATCATCAAGTACTAGAAATTTTTTTTTCAAAATTTTATAACTGCAATAAACTGTTTTCACTGAAAGAACACTGTTACTATCGAGGTAGTCGCAAACTTCGAAAAACGCATGTAAACGGACAAAAAACAAAGAACATATTCACTACTTTTGCTCCCAACTGCAGTTTCCGACTATGAGAGATCAATGATTTACTCATATATTTCCAGAAGCTCAAAGAAAAAGACTTGACTTTGAATACTTTTCTCATGCATATTCAGAAAATGCCATGCTGGTACCGAAGTAGTTTTTTCACTATTGATATTTATACAGAAGCATTAAAGGTACCAATTAATAAAGTATTTATTTCTCTTTCCGACAACACGTATTTTAACATTAAACATTTCGACTTCTGCTGCATTTGTAATTACTAGATAAAAATCATTTGTAAGAAACTGACTATATATATTTGTCGACTTTATGAATGATTGTCTCAAAGACCTGCGTGCAAGCACGTTAAAAGCCAGCTTTTGAAACCTTTACACAAGTTTTAGAGAGTATTTTTCTTATCTAGTGACTATTAAAAAATGGCAAAATAAATACATTACATATAGAATTGATTGTTTTTGCAAGCCTTTTCTCTTATCGTTTTATTCCCATAGTCAAAAACGGTATTAAAAATGAAAAGTCATCGTGTTATTCTCTTTTAGTCTATTTACACGCGTTTTTAAGAGTTATGTGGCTGCGTGCATAGAAGAAAAACTGAAACAACTAATCAAATAAAACTTGTTTCACTTTTGTTTGTTTGAGAGCTTTCAGAGATATTGGAATTATTGTTCGGTTATCAGCAATACATCGTTGTTAACAAACAATCTATAAGATCGACGATGTACTACATTATTCCTCTACTTTAGCTGTGTTCGATACAAATGAAGTACAACCGTGGAACTGGGAGGAAACTGGTAGTAATTATACCTTAAAATGTCCAATTAGCACATTGGATGATCCACCTTATCGTACCAAGGCCGTATTTCGATATGATGAGATCTTGAATAAATCTGGTCGCATTTCTCAGAAGACTTTATGTATGTCAGCTGAACAAGGTGAAATCGATCCGAACACGAACAAACCCAAATATCTTCATTATGATGTGCATAAGTATAATTGATTTTTCTCAAGATTAACTTTGAAAAGAGGCACTCTTTTGATTCTTAGTCTGTACGGTTGGAGTCAAACAAAGCCAACATTTGATGCACTACGTGCAGCTACTGGAAAACGAGGTTTAGTTTTGCCTCGTTCAACATTTGTTGGATCGGGTCAATGGAGCGGTCATTGGCTGGGAGATAATAATGCAACATGGCACGAAATGAAGCGCTCTATAATTGGAATGATTGAGTTCAACTGGTTTGGTATTCCATTCAATGGGGCCGACATTTGTGGCTACTTTAACACACCAACTGAAGAAATGTGTACACGGTGAGTAAAGATAAACCATTGAAGACGGTTCAGTTTGTATCTTATTTCATTTCTTCTTTTATCAGTTGGATGCAAGTCGGTGCTTTCTATCCATTTTCACGAAACGTAGGTTTACAAAAAATTTGATTTTGTATTTAACTGTTGTTCTTTAGCATAACAATCGACGGACAAAAGATCAAGATCCAGCTGAATGGTCTGCATCTGCTCTCAAAGCTATGATATCTGCTCTTCGCATTCGTTACACTCTTCTTCCATATTACTATACACTTTTTTACAAAGCACATACACAAGGTTCAACAGTAATTCGACCATTGTTTCATGAATATCCCACGGATAAGGCAACTCTTGATATTTTTCTTCAATTTTTGGTCGGACCTTATCTGATGGTGGCTCCTGTCACTGATGATGGTGCTCGAACAGTTAACATATACATTCCATCATCGCCATGGTACAATTTTTATGATGGTGCACGAATTTCAGTACAGAATCAATTCCTATCAGTTTTAGCACCGCTAGACATCATCCCCATATTTCTGAGAGGTGGAGCCATTTTACCAACGCAAGGTTTTGCAAATAATACAAAACTTTCAAGGTAATGGAGAAAAATAACATCAATATTTCATTTATTTCTTGAAATATTTCAATATTCAATACTTTAGACAGCAACCATTTGGTCTAATCATTGTAGTGAATTCGGATGGAAACGCTGAAGGTGATCTATTCTATGATGATGGTGAATCGATCGACGCAATTTCTTCGAAAGCTTATTTCTATGCGATATTTAAATGGTCATTGAATGATACTCAATTGACAATGACTGTTGTTGAAAACAATTACAGAGAGATGTCAAATTTGAAGCTTGATTCACTGACTATTTATGGGCTGAATCACACACCAGCTATGATTTATGCTGGAGGAAAACAGTTTGTTCCATCGCAACGACCCAACACACAGATAGTCGAAGTCAGTGGCATGGGATTGCCCATGAATCAAAGTCATTGGATCATAAACGGGGGCATGATGACCTTCATCAGTTACTACTCGCTGTGCATATGCTTAGCTCTTTGCATCATGCAAGTATTCTTGATCAAGCCTTGATCACTAGTTTTTAGACAGAACAATTTTTGCAACAAACACTCATTATGAGAAATTTGTCATCGAAAAATTTGTTCATGAAAATATGAGTGATATTATTTATTTTTCAATAAAACATTTTAACAATTATATTCATCATTAGAAAGAACATTTAAATTCAAAGCAATTTATTTCAACAAAATGATTTGATTGATCAGTGTTAATATTTTTCATCGAAAAAAAAATATCAAATTTTGACCATGGGCAACGCAAAATATGAGACTGAGGATGTGTGCGTACAAGGTTCATAGCTTTATCCAAACTCTAACCATACTCACACCTCGTACCTTAATTAAACATCAATCACAGTGTGCATAAACATGTTTCTTGAAACACGCAATAGTTTCAGCTGCTGTGACTAACTGGAGTAAAGAAATTTAGGCAAAAAGTTCATAATTGATTGTTACGTATCGATTGACTTGCACTTCACTGTCAATTTTCGATGCCATCGATGTGTATATTCAAAACTTACAACAGCTCTGAAAGATATGTAGTCAATATCTAGACATTCAAATTTCTAGAGTTTTTTCGCTCAAAAATTAAAGAAACAAAGCTTACAATTTGATCAGTATCGTCGAACGAGACTCTTAGATAGGGATGAGTATTCGTGTCGATACAGAAAGCATCATTCATAACTACAATCACGCCACGAACAGATGCACTTCTAACCAGTGTGTAATATGAGTTTCAAGCGACAACATTCATTTTAGGTACTATTGTATTAGATTGTGCTTTTTATTTTGCTGAGACAAAAAGTCATTGCCTTTGCAAAAGCACTTGATATTGTTTTTATCATAATATATGAATATTTGATAATGTTTTAGCACTTAGTATTTGCTCTGAATAACGAGCTTCTTATCTTCTTTTCTTTATCAGTGCTTCTTCTTCACCTTTTAATAGAAAAAGAGTAGACAAATAAAATTTTTCATACAATGAATCATTAGATGCGTAGCCTTTTTGCAGATTCGAATGGAAGAATTCAGACGATGCTGTAACGATAACTAGACCTACATTGAATTATTTGCGTTCACATAGCCACCATCCATCACCGAGCTACAAAGCGATTGTTCACGTTCATCTACAAATGAGCATGCCATTGCAACAAATTGAAACTTTTCTATAGTCGATGGCTGTTCTAAAAAAAATGTCATATTCATTCAATTTTTATCTTACTAACTAGAGAAATCAACTGGTGTTTCCTAACATTAATCCCTTATTCCTCTACCTAGATTATCAGCAATATGTACATAATACTTCATTGTGTTTATTGGATGCCTCTAACTCTTTTTATTGGTAATGATGTAGCAGGAAAAGTCGACTATATGGATGGCAAAAACGTGCTTTGTAAGTAGTCCATTCTTGTATTTGCGTCATCTCTCATGTTATTTTTATTAATAGCTACAACGGTCATTAACATTAATGAAGAGCCGTCTTTCATTACAACTCGTGTTCCACTCCGAGACAATACCGAACTTGCTATTGATTACTTCCTTCGTAGACCATCTGGTCGATTTTCAACAATTCTCGATATTACACGTTACGGTCGCGGTTCTAAGAAACCAAATCGTCGTTTTTAAGCACGTTACTGGACTCAACATGGTTATGCATTTGTGGTAGCTGGCTCTCGTGTCACAGGCGATTCTGGTGGTGAAATGGTTTTCAATGCTCGTGAAGGTAAAGACGGTTATGATTTGATTGAATGGATTGTCAGTCAGTCTTGGTCGAATGGTCGCATTGGTATGCGTGGTGCTTCTTACTCCGAAGAGGATCAGTGGTATACTGCTCGAGAACAATCTGCACATCTCTCATGTATTAAACCAAGTGTTATCCCCACACGTCCTATGGACGAAGTACCCTATGATAATGAAGCATTTTTTACTTCAATGAGCCGTGTTGTGGATCAATTCGTGTGTCATCATTGTTTTACTAACAGCTGGCACAACTCATACACACACCTAAACTTGGTTGACTCATCGGTCACTTCGTACTCCAGATGTGTTTGCTGTTGGACAAGAATCTCCAACGTATCGTTCTTTTCTTGATCATCCAACTTATGATGATTTTTAGCATGCTATTGATTCTCTGGCAAATAGTTTCATCAACATCACCGTACAAACATTGGTTTTTACAGGTTGGTTCGATGGCACTCTCACAGAAACAAACACTCATTTTAACGAAGTGCGATGCTCATCACCTCGTAACGACGACCATTTCCTCTTTTTGGTCCTTACATGCACACAAATGCTCCTGATGATGGCTACGACTATCTAACCAATGAGCCTATACTCAGAATGATCGATCGCAATTATGTATTACTTTACACTAGTGATCCCACGACTAACGAAGGAAGGTCCCCAAGTGTGAGTCTCAGTTTTGAATGAGATAGATACCACTTTGTAGAGCTCGACGAGCTGATTCTCGTGGTATGTTTTGTTTTTGCCCATAGAAGTTCAAATGAGTAAAACAGATCGATTTTACTAATGAATTTCTTCACTTTGGATAAGTATCGAGACAATTGTTAGTAATTTGGGGCTTAAAGGGTACTTAAAGCTTGAATGGTCATGTTAAAACATAGGTAATACCACATGTGAAATTCTATTATTAATTATTTTAAAAGAATAGGAGAACAGTACTTCCTTGCAAAATTCAATTTCTTCATCACTGTGAATATTAATTGTAGAATTGTTATACTTGTAGGAACTTTAGCGATCCTGAGAAAAAAACTTTATTATGTATCCAGAAGTTGAAGCTTAACTTTCATTTAAAATAATATAGTACTATGCTCACACGTGGTATTACCTATGTTTTAACATGACCATTCAAGCTTTAAGTACCCTTTAAGCCCCAAATTACTAACAATTGTCTCGATACTTATCCAAAGTGAAGAAATTCATTAGTAAAATCGATCTGTTTTACTCATTTGAACTTCTATGGGCAAAAACAAAACATACCACGAGAATCAGCTCGTCGAGCTCTACAAAGTGGTATCTATCTCATTCAAAACTGAGACTCACACTTGGGGTCCTTCCCTCGTAAGTGTCTAACAATCATTGGCAATATCGTCATCAAGCTGCAGATGTCAAGCAAAGCACCTGACACTGACAGTGACATTGTAGTCGAAATGATGGATGTATTAACCAATGGACGTTTCATCAAACTCGACTCGGACGAATCCAATCGATTGCGTCTTCTTTATTATGATGGGTGCGATCATGAGGTTTTCGTGATACCTAATTCGATCTATTCTATTCGAATCCAACTGGATGCGATCAGTTACACATTGTTGCCAAGTTATCGGATCAGACTGGCTGTAATAAGTGGTCTGTTTTCTTGGCTAAGTGCAAACTCAAACACCAATGGGTCCATAGTTACAGACATGAAACAGTCAATCGTGACCAATCAGACGATCTACTATGCTGACTGTCAATCATCACATATCCGTATGATGGTCATGAAAAATCCAATATTTGATCCATGATCAAAATTAAAAGTTTTAAAGACAACTAGCGAGGATTTCTTTATATAACTAATTTTTTCTATCATTTTTCTACACAAATATTATAAAATTATCGGTAGAATAAAGGTTTTCAATCAAGACAGTGCAAGCGTTAGGGTGAAGAAACGAGAGATGATTCGAGATCAATTGAAAATTTTCACAAAAACAGAAAATAAGAATTTCAAAGGTACCAATTGAAGTTTAGATTCAAATGCTTCGATTAGTACATGAATAGTCATTTTTTTCAGTGTATTAATAAGATATGGACCGAATCCTTAAAAGCTTGCTAGTAGGAAAACTTATTTCATATTGTTGTTAGACAAAAAAGTTATGAGTATTCAGAACTTGGTAGAACAATGTTCATTTGAGAAATATAATGGCGATGAAATTTTTGGAAAGGAAAATAATAGACTATAAAACACTATGGAGGTCTTATGTCCCATCATGATTAAAAACTTGCATTAGGCTTTTATGACATATCACAACTAATGCAAGTAGTTAAAGATTTTGTAGTAGCGAAAGCTGTGCTACTTTCATACATTCAACATCTTGTTTTCTTTCGAAATTATCTTTGTTTTTTTAGGCATATTCATCGTCTATAAAATATTGATGAATTAAATAAATAGTAAAACAAGATGTGCCTCAGATAGAACAGATAAAATGATTATGATTGTTCTTGTTTATTTCATTGATATCTGTTCTCAGAGAGAACTGAAGATATTTGCAAGGTGATGAAGCCCCATTGAGACAATGCATTCAATAAAATATAAATTTTTTCATCGTCTACATAGCTTTTTTCATTTTTGTGTATTATCATAAATTTTTATTAGTTTATATTAATGACATGGAAAAAGAATTCAGCTAAATTCAACACAGCATCTTGTTTAAAAATTCAAAGCAAACATTTCAATTAAAAGAATCTCTCGAGACTAGACATTGAAAAAGAAATGCACAACACTTGTCAATTTTGTGACTTTTGAACCATTGAATCCCTGTTGAATAATATTTAAAGAATGAACATATCATTCTGTCTATTAACACATGAACGTTTTATCTGAAAAGAAGTTCATTTTTTTTTGATAAAGATAATAATGAACAACATTTATCATTCATCGTCGGTAGCTCTTCTAAAAAGCATTATAAAACAAATATCAAATGAGAAATATCAAATTAAATAACCTGCCAATCGCTGGAGATGACTCAGGATTTCGATAATTGTAATGTGTAAGTAGCGCTCGATTTAGAATCAACAAAATAAATATAATAATAGCACCAAGAATAATACTAGCTATTATTCCTATAATAATCAAGACACTTGGTTTAGAACGACAACCTATTTTACATTCAGAAATTAAATCTAAAAATATCGTATAAAACATAGAAATAGATCAATAAAAAAAACAGCTCATTTAAATATAATTTACTTGTTGTTATTCGAATTTTTTCTTCACTATGTCCAGCTGCATTAAATAGACGAACAACAATTATATAATTTGTTTTCGATTTAAGGTCTTTCAATTCATATTCAGTCGCCTGTGATTCAATACGAATTGGCTTACTCCATTTTCCTACTTTATTATTACCATGAATCTTAATAATAATATTTTTTTAAGAGATATTATTTTTGACTTTGCTTCGCACAATGAAAACGAAATACTTACTGTAGCATAAGAAATTTCAACTTGTGATATTTTTGAACCACCATCATAGACAATAAACCATTTAATTAAACAAGATCTATAGTCAAGACATGATGTATTTGATAAACTAAATTGTGGAACTTCTCCAGAGAAAGTTTTTGCTTGAATAGGTGTCGAAAAAACACTTTGTCCTGCATGATTTTCAGCAGCTACTTGAATTCGATACAAGCTTGCTGCTTGAAGAGATTTTATTTCAATTGTTTGTGATTGATTTGATACAACTACAATGTATGTACATTAAAAGTAAATATCATAATCATTTTCTTAATAACGAAATCTGACAAATGCTTTAATTTATTTGCCCTCTTATTCTGTTATTATACCTGGAAATAAAATTGTCTTGAATGAATTAGGAACGCCAACTTGTTCATATTTAACAATATATTGAAGTAAAGGAAGACCACCAAACTCTAATGTTGGCTGGATATTAAGTTCAATTGTATTTGAATTTGGTTTAACTTCAGGTATACGAACTGGTCGTGGAGGTTCAGCACGTTGAAGAGTTATTGAATGTTTTTCAATACGAGAATTATTCGCTCGACATTCAAAATTTAAACCAAAATCTTCTTCTGATGGATTATACTATATTCAAAGTTATAATAAAAAATAAAAATAAAGAAAAAAAAACTTATACTGTCAATTGTGTTTCATAAAGTGTTGCACCAATTTGTTTAGTAAAAATGTCAATTACTTGTGGATCATTATCTTCTAAAATGATCTGATTTATATCATTTCCTTGTATCATTTTTACCCATTGAATAACAGGTGGCGGATAGCTATCAATTTGACATTTCATTATTGCTAAAATTAAATTAAAACAAATAATAAAAGATATTTTTTTTTGTAGTGAAAAGAAGCATTTACTGCGGTAATTGGGTACACTATATATATCAGTCATCTTTGGCTCAATAAATATAGGTTTATCTTAAATCAATAAAAATATTATAGAAAGAAAAACAACATGAGACATTGTTTTTATTTTTACATCGAACAATAAGTTGAGCAACAGTAGATATTGCATCAGCTAAATTCTTTGCTAAACATGTATAATTTCCATGATGTTCACGGCGTATTGGATTAAAATTTAATTCAATTAAATGTTGCGTTGTCAATCGAGTAGTATCAATTGATATATCATCGATTGCCTATAAAGAAAAAAGAACTATAGATAGATTTTTCTTTGTTTTTTTTTTTCTATTAAACTTTACTTGCACGGGTGTATTATTAGCATAAAGCCATTCTAAAGAAAGACTTTCAGTTGAAGCACGTTCAACACGACAAATAAAACCAACTTGTTTTGATCGAAAATTCTCATCAAAATTAACTTCTATTTGAGGTATAGGTGAAAGGCGAGGTGGAACTATAATTAGAATAATGAGATTATTTATTTTTTAAAGAAAATTTATTGTTACTTGTAATATTAAGTATATATTCTGTTTTTTGTCCTTTTTGATCAAAATCATTAAATGCATGACATGAATATCGACCACTATCTGTTTGATCAACATAATTTATAATTAATCGATTTTCACGAACAATAAATTTTGATAGTCCATTTACAATTAAATGATTATTCTATAATAAGATTTATTTTAATTTTTACTAATATCTGAAACAAACCTGTCCATAAAACCATGAGAATTGTGGTGGTGGTACTCCACTTGCTTCACAAATTAAAGTAGCTGTTCGCTTTTCAACAGCACATGGTGACGAACAAATAATTTTTGAAGACGTTATAGCTTCTAAAATATTCTTCTATTATTAAAAGAAAAATATTATTATTTTGAAAACATACGAGCAAGTACAACTTGAATTTGATAATCTTTTGATTCACCAGTTTCAACAACATCAGCTTGACACCAAAAAATATCATTATCTGTTGATGAAACTCGATTAATTTTTAATCCATCATTTGTTTGTTCATAATTTGGTGGTAAAAGTTCTATTCGATTTTGTCCTTTAAACCATGAAATTTCAGCAGATGGGTTTGATATTACTCGACATTTGATTAATACAACAGAATTTAATTCAGCATATTGAATTGGTTCACTTATGAATGTTATTGGAACTATAAGAGAATAAAATCAATTATTTTGATTTCGATATAAAGAAATTTACCTTTAACAACAATTTGTAAAGTATTCGAAAATGATTTTCCATCTTGATCAAAACCTAAACATTTCCATGTACCTTGATCATTTTGTGTTAAATTTCGTATACGTAAACGTACGCCATTTCTTTTACGTTCTATGGTTATTCTACAAAGATGAATTTATGAAATCAAAAAGAAAAATATCAAAAATTATTCTTATGAATCCACCTTGCATTTCCATCTTCTTCAATATCAATTTGTGATGGAGATTGCCAAGTATCTTATCAACAAGAAAAGATAAACACCATAAAAAAAAAGAAAAAAATATAATACAAACCAACTCGAGTGTTTTTCAGTCCAAAACACAAAGCAATAAATGGTTTGAATTGATTATGTGAAATAATTGATTCTGTTGGTTGTATGAGTAATTGATTATTTACAATTTTAATCAAACACATAACTAAATAGAGTGTTCTAGGATTGATCCAACTTAAAAGAACATTCTTACCAGTGTAGATAACAATATGCGATAATTTTAACATGAGTATTTATTATTCGTCAATTGAAATCATAAATTTATCTAAACAAAATAAACCATTGATATTTAGTTTTTTTGAAGCGCATCGATGAATAGCATACAAAACATTCGAAATTCATCGAAAGACAATTATAATATCAAAGAGACACTTATTATCTAGATGGAAGCTACAGATCTATACGAGTGTCAATTTTGAAAGTGTTTTTCAAAGCGCTAATTGATGTGAACTGTTCTGCTTGAACAAGTCTCTTAATAGAAATTGACTTATTTTAACAATTCTTTTGAGCTTGAACGGCCTATCCCTAATTCATCTCCATTCTTAGACGTATTTTAATTGTCATAATCATTCATTCTATGTGACGCTAATATGAATATCAGGATTTAAATGAAAATGCCGAATACTGAATGTATTTATATAGCAGATACCAATTATTAACAAGGTTTATTTTCAATTTTTTGCACTGCTGTAAGCGTTAGAAACAATCCAAATAGTGATTCGAATAGAGAAAAATATTTCCAAAATGAATATAACGAAATAAATGTTATTATCAGGTTCCCAAAGAAAGGGACTCTAGAAAACCAAAAGATTTGTTTTTTTAGCATTCAAAACGGATCAATATTTTTTTGGACTACATGGGACGATAAAGTAAACCATCCTCTACAAAATGAGACATCTCTGAGTTTATTACAGTGTTTTTCGACTGAGATATAGCAACCGTATAGAATTCAATGTAGGCATTTTTTTTTTCTAATTTCCTTTAAAAAGAAAATCATTTTTTGATCTTCTATCAAATTGTTGCATCTCATCCAAAAGACGTCGCAGAGAACTCGGCGATAATTTATTGTGTAGAGCATGGTTTACTCTATCGTTCTGTGTAGTCTAAACAAAATTGCTGTTACCTGTGCTAGATGCTGAAAATCAAAAATTTTGATTTTCTGAAGTCTCTGTCTTCGGAAACTTGATAATAATTTTTATTTCTTTATCTTTCTTTCGAAAACTATTTTATCTATTTGAATATCTATTGAGATTCTTTCGAACGTTTTCGACAATGAAAAAGCATTGCAAACAAACTTCCAGTCGAAGAATTTTTCGTACTGACTCTATGTCAAATGTATCTCTTATAAGTTGTTGAAATATGATGAACTTTTTCGATCGAGAAAAAAACTTATGAAAGATTAATATTTATTCGCTAAATTGTCTTTAAATATAATCATTCTATTGAAATATACATTTTACAAAACTTTTACTTGACAAGAGTCAATGTTATGATTGTGCCAATGAAACTTTGTTTTTCAAGATAAATGGCTTCTTTGATTAACCGAATATATTTATATCAAACAGAATTTTCATAAGCCTCGTTATTTCCATTTTCGATAGAGAAAAATGCTAACTATTTTAAAACCTTAATCTTATTGACATCTGTTTTCTTTTTCTATTTAAAACTCACCTTACTAAAACTTATATATTATTTAATTTAATTTTGCATACATTTAATCAGTAAGAGATAAATGAGAGCGACTTTTCTAGACATCCATTCTTAGAGAAAATAAAAACTGGTTTCCAATTAATTCTACTTACTTCAATAATAAGATTCTAGTCATTTTTCTTCTTACTATTATTCGTTGCACATAACCTTGGCTTCGTCTTCAACCTCAAAATTCAAACTTTTCTTTTTTTTTGTTCTTTTTCATTCGTTTATATTGCTTTTTTTGCAAATTCAAGTATGTCCTTTTGTCAACAAAGAACACTATTTTTTTTTCTCACCTTGATCAATATCAATAGTCTGGAGAATATTAAAGATTTCATTTTCATAATAAAAAAAAAAGTAAATATAATGTTTGTTCATTATTTCAAGTGAAATTCTTATTCTCTTTTGTTTATTTGTCATTATTGTGCATAATGAGACAAAGCCGAACTTCAACTTAAACATCAGCGTAGTCAAAATATAAAACTAGAAAGCTAGTTTCGGTAATTTTATTTTCAATAAAAAATAAACCAACTTTTAAATAACTAATATTATTAAGATAAAATAATATTTTCGTATTTCAAATAAAAAGATTTTTCTATGAATTCGAAATAGCATAATTATGACTGGTATCATGTGCAGAGAAAGATCTAAAACTATAAGTTTCTTTTAGTTTAACATAAATAAAACAGAAGATCTATGGTGATTTCTATTCTGGTCAAACAAGAAATATTTTTTCTTACAATTAAAAAGATTATAGGATAATAAAGTGTGCGCTAGTTTTGTACCTTAATTCATATTGAGTAATATACTATGAAGATGTTGCATAAAAAACTACTAGTATTATCGATTAGCACATTAGTTTTTCAAAACACACGTTTCTAATATATATTGTGCTACGTCGATAGGCGAAATACATTTTATCATAATTCTCTTGAAACTTACGATCATTTACTAAACCTTTTTTGACGATGAATAAAAAATAATGAAAAATTTAATCTTCAACAATCGCTAGTTTTTAAAAGAATTTTGGAAGAATGTATGACAATAAAATCGAATCACTTTATAATAGAAAATTCCTTCTAAGAAACAATTGAAAATTTATGCAATTACTTTTTTCGAATGAATCATTTCTTTATTTGCAGTTTTTTCGATTATTTGTACAACTAATAAATTCATTTCTCTACTGAATTCGCTTAATTTCAAGAATCCATATTTATTGATGCCGTAGCCAATGGAATCGATTGCTAAAAACATCACTATACTGCATTACAAAATATTGAAAAAGGCTGAATTTCGAAATTATATCTAAGTGAATCATTTGATACTATTTTCATAGTGAGGACTTCAAGGAATCTTTCAACGTCATATTAATAATAACCGAAAAATTATTGATTATCATCAGAGTGTGTTATTTTGCTGCACTGTATCAAAAGGAAAAATATCAATTTGTATCAATGATAGATGGCAATGGAAACATATATATATATACTATTTAGTAAAACATATACAGTGTTAGAAACAATCTCTCATAAAAACTAACGAAAAGAAAATAGTACATAATTCCTCGCAGTTTATATAGATATTTATTGAATCATTATAGTATTTTGATTTAAGTTCTTGATAAATGAATACTTTTTTTTGTCGCATACTGATTCTATTAAAATATATAGAATTGTTTTTATATTGATTCTTTTCAAAAACGAGTAAAAACAATAACATAAAAGTTTTGCTGGTCTGTTATAAAATGAAAATCACACAAAATGCTTTGAAATGATTGCTTATAAAATGTAACATGTTTCATATTAAATCCCTTAATAGCAATATAATCAATAATAATTGTTTTAAATGTAACGTATTTCGTCTGATGAATAGCGTCGAAACCTGTATAAATAATATTAATATTTTTCGGGGTATCTGAGTACGAAAAAAAGATTTTGACACAAGAGACACTATTCTTGGTAACAATGATACGATATTTTTTTTACTATCACGTGCACCAAGGACAATTATTTGTTTATTTCTTCCCGTAATTATTACGATAATATTCTAACAATACATGACTAACAAACAAAACAAGCAACATTCTATTTACGTCTTCTTAAAAATAATATACGAATCAACTAGCTGAATATTTACTATGGTTATCTTAGCTGGCTATCAAGAAGCAATAAATAAATTGTCTAATGCAGAAGTAGCTTTCGTTGGCCGTTTAACAAGCGTCACTCCAAGTTTATCGATATGTTCAACACCACCTGTAAATCATTATACACTTAAATTTGAAAATGAATTACAACCATTGAAAGGTTCCATAGCAACTATATATGAATTTCATTATGAGCAGAAAATGACCGATGAACAAATATTGAACATTAGAGATACATTAGACCCAACAAACAATATAAAGGCACCACAACCAGGTCAACTATACGTTGCCATACTTCACGCTGATAATAATACTATTGAAACATTAATAGGTATTGAAAAAAGTGACGTACCATTATTGCAAACATCAACAAAATAATTAATACTTTAATTGTGAACGCTGCCTCTTTTTGTTGTCTTTTTTTTATAAAATATATTTACTGTATGATATCTGTTGCTGAAAACATTCTATTTTATCAAGTCGAAAAAATTTATTATGTGAACAGCTTCTTCAATATATATTCATATATTATAGAGGAAGCCTAATTGCTGCATTTCTTCAAATGTTAGGACAGTCAAAAACTGTGCCGTATGGATTTCATTGTAAATATTGAAAAAAATAATGATTTCAAAGAGAATGAAATTATGCAATAAATGAGATTAGCATGGATATATTCAATAATCATAATTAACATATGTCGATATTATATGATGATCAACGATCAAGAAAAAAGAAGCGAGATAAAAAGAAAGGAGAATTATAAAACTTATAAACCTTAACAGGAATAATAAACCATGTCCTTCAAAATCGTTTTCTTTTAGCTTAACGAACATAAAAATGAGAAACTTTGTCATCATCATGTAAACAACAATCCAAAATAAAAACAACTGGGAAGTTTTATAGAAAAAAGTATATTACACTATGAAATTTTGTTTTTTTTTAAATTATTTATTTCTATACTTGTCTTTAGCAAGAATTTATTCAGACACTGCGTTATTCATTTCAAACGTTTGATAGGAAAGCAGAAAGCAATGGCGTTGAACAACAAAAGCTTCGTATTAAAAAAAGAGCTCTAATAGAAAAAAAAAACTTTAAAAGTAGAATGTATATGATTAGACATTAATAGAAAAGATTTGCTGGGTACAGACCAAGAAGAAAGATAATTCACGATATATAAAGGTCGTTAAAGCGCGAAAAAAGAGGGGTTTCAATATCAATCCATCCATAGGTAAAAGAAGAATTATTTAACATTATTTGAGTGACCACTTGTTACCTATCTTTTTCAAATCTGCTATTCACATTCGATATTATTCTTTTTTTTGTATTTCCATCCGTGTATTACATAGGATGGGGTAAAGACATCTAATGCTAGAACTATGTTACCATCTTCAATAGAAAGAAGACAAGCTGATAATGCTATAATATTCAATCAAGTTCAGTGAGAAATCAAATTTGTTTTAGAATCAATCAAAGTCAAATATTCGAACTGTGAATTTGACATTAATTTTCGAAAATAAAACTGGCAAATATAAGATAGTACAAATATAATATCGGTGCTAATGATTTTTAGAGTATCATAATAAAAAGCTAAAATAAAAATATTATTTCATTGACCTTTTCTTTTTCGCATGATTTAGTTGTATATACTAGTTTTCTTTCGATGTACACTTGAATATACTTTGATTTTTCGAGCAATTCTTTGATTGAGAATTGTTTCTCGTTTGCAAGTTATTTTGTTATATGTATAACTAGAAATTAAAAGTATTGTCTTTGACTGATGTCATTGATACGATACAATAAGACTATGAAAAAAGTGAATTTGACTTGAAGTATTCGAACTCGAATTTACAGAATGGTAAAATCGAGTGCCTACAATTTTGTCGAATACAAAAAATTTCGATTATTGTATTATAACATTCCTTTCTATGAATTTCAAATTCAATTATGACCACCTAAAATCTAACTTGGAATCAAGTTGAAATCATGTTGAAATCAAGTTGAAATCAAGTTGAAATCAACTTGAAATCATGTTTAAATTATGTTGGAGTTAGGTTTATCGAAGAGTGTGGGTGTGGGTGCGATTTGATTTTTATTCTAAACTCACACCCACTCCCATACCCACACCCACACTCTCACACTCACACCACCCCATACCCGCACCCACACCACCACACACCCGCACCCCCCCCCACACCCACACCCACCCTCCAAGTGAATTTCAACTTGATTCCAA